ACTGTCTTGGCTTTTCAGTTGTTCAGAAACTGAGCTGCATTTCCTGGCTCTCAAACTTCATAAACTCATCAGATTTTGCTGCAGAGAAATCTCATTAAAATAACAGTCCTTAGTGGGAAACACTAGCACCATTCATAGTAAAATGCTGATACAGTAACAGATATTTTTAAGCTATGAATTGGAAGCATTTTCCTATACCGTACACATGCACACATTTAGACAGATGTGTAAGGTAAATGTTTATTTTTCTTATGCAGTTGTCCTTTAATTGTCTCCTAAAAGTGTCTTCAGTCTTGTGGCTAAAGTACATTCTGCCTTTGCTACCGTCATGTCGGAAAGTAGTAACTGGTTCCAAACTGCTTTCCCCAAGGAGTTGTTGTAAGGTCCAAAATGTGCTCATTAGAAAACTTGTACTGAACCACACAGATCTTGCCATTGTGGAGGGTGCACGCACGTGGGACTATTACTTCATGCACAATGACATGAGACCAGAAAACATGTGGACAGGAAGCCAAACCCAAGAGAGAGTTGGGGAGCTTCCAGTTTTCTGTGGAGCACAGAAATGAAGCAAAATCCAGCAGTACTCTGGACTCAGGTGTCTAGGGGACCGCACAGCTGTGACCCGTCCACTCTTCAAACACTGCATAGGCAAGCACAGTGGCTCAGGCAGCACTCAGTCTGGAGTAAATCATTATGTCAGCAAATCTAGAAAGATTGTAGCACTTGCTTACGAAGCCAAGTTTAAATGGCTTGGGTAACCTAAATGTGGAATGGCTAGCACCATATATGGAAGCTGAGCATAGTCTTCATACTTTTAATGGCGCTAATGGGAATTCCCCCAAATATATCTTGCTCCTTCTTTAAATAATAAATTTTCCCATGATGCAAACTCATCTTATTCTAAAGTATATATTTGGTGATTATTCTGCATAGCTGACATGTTAACAGTTCCTTTTTGAGACCATTATTTTATGGCAAAAGCATTTTCAGCAAAAATAGAAATGTTTTTCATCATTCAAAAGTCAAAGATTATTTCTGAAGTTTGGTGAATTTTGAGGTGAGCTATCAGAAGCCTGATGAAAATTCAGATTTTAACCAAATACTATCTTTCTAGTAAGTGATAAGATTCTATATTTAGAGGTGGAAATAGCTTCTTAAATCTGTTTTTAAAAGTGTTGATACGGTTCGCCTACCAGGAAGAAATATTATATGACTTTGCAAGACTAGCCGGCAAGTCTGGGGCTAAGCCCCTTTTGTCATAAATGGCATTTTCTGTGAAGTGTGCAGGTAGGGGAAGAGCTCTGAAATCCGGAGAATCTGATAGACCTTTCCCGCTGAAGATTAAGTGCTGAGTGTAGAAAGGGTGAGAGGGTATAAGAAAACTAAGGTTATCAAGTAATCAGACCTCAAGATTTAAAAAGTCACAGCTTCCTGTCTGCTAATCAGATTGGTTTCCATTCATTCAAAATGGTAAAATTCTTCCAGTTGTCATCTTTTAAAAATTCACAAGTGTTACGCACCACTCCTTTCCAGTTATTCAAGAGTGTGGGAAGAATTTACCAGTCACACTGAAGAAAGACAAAATGGTTATAGACTAAATACTGACCAAGCAAGAAATTACCTCCTTTCATTTAGCCTCTGAGTGGGTCCCTAGTTCAAGAGAAGTAAAAAGAATCCCTGCTAAGGAAGGGGCTTGTTTTTGATGAGTAAGTATTCTTTATGAATATGTGCTTTTTATGAATAATTATTCTACTAGCCCTGCGGTCTGTTAGGGACCAGGCCACAGAGCTCTGCTCCCCCAGTTTAGGAAAGCCAATCCTCGCCCCTGCCCCCGCACAGCAGGAGGTGCCCAAGACTAATATCATGGACTTCTAGAATTTTCTTTTTCTTTCATTCCCTTCATGCAGTCCCAACTCAAGAATGTTCTACCTTGTAAATATTAATATCTCTGGAATCTGTGTCTCCCTATATATAAGATCTTTCTAAAACTTAAATCACATACCTACTCCCTGCCTTGTCAGCCTCACACAAAGACCTCCTGAGTCTCCAGGTTGACTGGAGTAATCCTGAAAGTGCTGAGCCTGGATGAGGCAAGGAGCCTGGGCTCGAACACATCCATCCTTGTGATGGGTTTGCTACAAACTAACAAATAACCAAAGTAGACCACTGAACCCAACAATGTCTTATCAGTGGAGTGGTTTTGCATTTGGGACCAAACTTCTTATCTCAGTGTGAACCAGTACAACAAACTGCGGATCAGAGGCTGGTCCACGGATGAGTTTGTTTCACTAGAGTGACTCGGTGCAAACATCTCAGCACGGAGCACCATGATGTTGATGGTTGAGCCCCTGGCTGGACCTCCAGCTCCCAGATTCAACATTCTAGCACCATTTGACCTAGCTCCTGTTCCAGGCTTTTTTATATCTCCTGCTCTCTAGTTTTCTGCAATTCTACAATGTTCTTCCACAATTCCTGCTTATCCTTTAAAACTCAGACAACCAATACCACCGTTGTGAAAAGTTCCTTTGACTTTCACTAGGCAGAGATAACCACTCTGGCTTCAGCGCTGCCTCTTAATCTTGAACACACTTCTATTTTTGTAGGTATTATACTGTTATGAAAATGATCTGTTGTTTTGGTCTTTCTTCTCTGACCAGGAAGTCTTCCAGGGCAGGATAGTAATTTTATTCAACTTTGTATCACTAGAGTTTAACACAGCATGCTATACATAGCAGATGCTCAATAAATGAAGGAACTGCACAAATGATGAAAAAATAGAGTAAATGAAAAAGCTCTAAAATGAACTGAAACATCACTATTTTCACACTCTGTGCGCTAAGTATCTTACACATATTATTTGCTTTTAGTCCTTTCAACAATCATCTCCTTTGGGTAAGTAGCACTGGTGTTATTTCACAGATGTGAAATCTGAAGCTGAAAATCTTAATGATCTTATGGCTGGTCCTATAGCCAGGTAATAAGCCAAACCAAGCCTCAAATCCAGATCTCAAAGTTTGAGCTCTTTCTACTATGATTGAGTAGGCTTTGAGACTTAATGTTGAAATTACGTGGCTGATCTTTATAATCAAATTAGCTAGAGTATAGCATTTAGTGTTGAAAAGTCACTTTTAAATTTAGGAGTAAAAGCAACTGGAATCCAGTCTCATGTTCATCCTTATTATGCCCCTATGCCTCAGAATTTCTTGAGAGCCACAGAGAATTTTAAGTGAAAATGTCATTTAAAGAGAATCTTAAAAATAGACAGAATTTTATGTTTCCCATGTCTATTGAATATATAAAAAATAAACAGCTCTGTTGCAATCTGAAATTTAATATGAAATTTCCCTACTTGATCCATTATGGATATTATAATATCATATAAAATACTGAGCACTAAACAGATGCAACTAATCTAAGAGTTCAAGAGAATTAAATATACATACTAACATACACATACATATTATATATGGTTTTCACTTCTGTTCACCTAAAGATAAAGACAAACTCAATGGGTTAATCACAGCACTATGGCATTAAAAGTAAGAGACCTTGCTTGTCTATATTGTTACCAATTTATGTTTCTTAATTTTCTTACCTGAAACATTATTAAGACAATAACTTTCTATATCTCATAGTATACCAAGTTATTATTGTAGTTTTATAAATGCAAATTGTATAATGATCTAAAATAGAACTTTATTTTCTTGGCTTGCTTAATTAGCAAATCATAGTTTCTGAGTGTTCAGAAGTTGTGTTTTTCTTAGTGCTATTCTAGAGTTTGAAATTCACCTTTTGTTGAAAGGCAATTTCTCAAAGCAATGAGCATCATTCCTGAGAATAATACTCTTGTTAATTCCGCATTCTTTCCAGAAACATAGCTTAATCACAGGGCTTTTGGGGTTTTGCTTGTGCTTAAAAAGTTAAGTGTCCGTGTTCCTTTAACAGTAGACCCTTCAGCTATGCAGCGAAAAATTTAATAAAAAATTCGCATGTCCACTGTAGTTACAGTGTTTTGCACCGTTTATACAAGCCAGCGCGAGTTTCCAGCCGACACTGAAAGATGGGATTTATTTCCTAGTGTGAAAAGAAACTTTCACCAATTACATCTGACTGAAATTGCGAGCACCCAACGCTGAGAGACTGGGGACCGGGGTTGCATCGTTTGCCCTTGCCTAACAAGCCAGGTGAATGCCAGCTGCCAGGGCTCCCGTCTAGGTGCAGGAGGGGCGTTTGTTGGTGCCTGTGCGTGTGTGTGTGTGTGTGTGTGTGTGTGTGTGTGTGTGTGCGCGTGCGTGTACAACCAGGGGTGACCAGGACGCCGCACAAGTGGCCAGCTGCAGCCCCTCGCCTGGGTGCTATTTTGTTAAGTGAGTTAATTGTCAACACAAGCCTCTTTCCCCTCCTGTGTTAAGGTTAGGGGGGATCAAACTGGGTGGAGGACACCAGCCGGAGACACACCTTCCAACACCCCAGCGTCCGAGTGGGGAAAAGGACGCTCATGCATCCGTAGTAAGAAATGCACAAGGGCAGGAAGGAAAGTTTGTCTCCTGGTTCAAAGCAAAAGCGGGGCATCATCGTGTACTTACAAGAGGCGCCTTCCAAGTCTTCTCTAGAGAGAAAGCGGTGGGGACGGGGAGGAGGCAGAGGAGCGGAGATTGGGTGGCAGCGGGACTTCCTTCCTCCTCCCGAGGGCCAGAGGCATGTTCCTTATCTGCCCGGCCTGCGACCCCGCGGCCCGCGCTCCCGGCCGGCCGGCGCTCCCCAGGGCTGTCTGCGGAGCGCTCGCGGGCCAGGGCGCTTATATAAGCCCGCGCACGACTATCATCACACACCCCCATAGGACCGGCGCTGCCAGACAAACAAAAGGCAGTTCCAAGAAGGGGACGAGCAGAGGCAGAAGTTACACTGGGGGTGAATTTCGGGACACTGCTGCACAGACTGGAGAGAGCAAAAAAAAAAAAAGCAGGCAGCAACTCAATCTGTGCATGCAAACCTCGGCAAACAAACCGCGCGCTGCAGCTGGCCCGGCAGGGAGGGGCGCGCGGTTCCGGCGCCCCCGGCACAGTGGCCGCCTGTGGCGGACCGAGCGGACCGGGGAGACGTGGTATGTGGACAGCCCGGCGTTCCAGACACCAAGTGCTTAGTAAACACTGACGTTTCTCAGGCTCGGACCAGGTGCTGCTGCTGCTGCTGCTTGTCCTTACTCCTTGTTTTGCTAGTGATGGTTTGCAAGCAGTCCCCTGTCCCCTGCCCAGCACTCTTACTTAAATCCTCTGTTTGGGTCTCTACTCTTTTCTCTGGTGGAGAAATGCACCGAAGCCAGAGGGCTCCTTTTACAACAGTGCCTGGGTCAGCCGAGAGAGAGTCCTGATTTATTCTGAGCACCACGCTTCCCTCTACCTCCCCTAAACTTGCCACTCATATTTTCTTTAAATTATTATTTTCCTGCCCTGCCCCTGGCACTGCTTTCCAACACGTAAAGAAATCCCTCATCCTGGCATTCAAAGCCCACAATTTTTGTCTCCACACTAATTTCCCACTTCCCATCCGGCACTCCCGCCTCACCTAACTCCCCAGCGCATTAGAATATGAATCACCCTCTAAAGATGGCCTTCCAGTTCTCCCTTTCCTAGCCTCACTCTCATGCCCCTTCCTCAGTGGGGAATGTCCTCACTCTCATTTCCTTCAAGGCTCACTTCAAATCCCCCGTCCCCCACAGAAGTTTCCCCCAGTTTCCTCTCTTTTCTCCCTGTGGACTCTGCTGCTCTGTTGTAATCACTGATGGGTTGTCTGTTTTCATAGGTTTGGGACCTTGTGTTGTTCTCCCTGGTGGCCTAGGACGGGCTCTGGATAAAGCAGGTGCTTGGTGAGTGTTTATTGAGTGGAAGTGACAGCTGGTCCCATCTTACCTGCCTCTCCATCACCTACCCAGGCTTAGAGGAGTGGTTGTTGGAAGTGGGCAGTAGGTTCTTGAGGGTGTGTGGTATCCCTTACTTCTGTGAATGTTTGGAAATTTTCATAAGTTAAAGAGTTAAAGAAAAAGAAAGCTTTTATAAAACATGGAGGGGAACATCACAATTTCACTCCAGTCTGCTTGCTTTAGGACATAAGTTTGTGAGGGAAACAGGACTGTTGGCATCTGTTGAGCTTCTGCTAGTACACATTAGAGGACCTATAAAGTGGAGCTTCTTTTTTACAGGATCCCAGGAAAATTCCCCAAAGGTGAGATTTTTCCGAAGTCACAGACTTCTGGGATGCATTTTATGGGGGAACTTTTCGACTGTTGAAAGAATGCAGGCTATCACAACAGCAGCTCAACAAATGAACAGCAGCTCTCTGGTGAGTTGTTTTATGATATGGGGTGAAATATAGAACAAAAGCTGTCAGGTACTGAATTTCTTGTGGCTTTGTATTAAAGTGTTCTTAATGACATTTCTCCTGTTATCCCTTGGTAAAAGCGACGTGCTTTAAATTCCATCTGTGGTAGCTGGATCAACTGTGGTGTCATTTAAGAGACGTGGGGTGTGTCCACACAGTACATGCTCTCAATTCGTACAGAATGTTCAGTGAATTAGAAGAATTTTCCCGCCTCCACTAATTCGGAACAATTAAAACCGATTCAGGTTCTAAAGAATTTTAGCTTCAAGTTCTTGGGGATTTGGCTTCGGGAATGACAAAGATCTCATTGCAATTTAGTAATTTAAGTGTAGGAGTTTCCCTCATTTCATTCTGCTTCGGTCGGGTCCGTAGTTTTTATTATAGCTACTATTTAGGAAACCTATTACGTTTCGGACACAGGGCTGGATGCTTCCCATGCATTCTTAACCTAGCAATCATCCCAAAATAGAAGTGTTTTTATCTTCACTTTACAGATGGGACAACTGAGTGTGGTCATACAGCTTAGGAAGTGACAGAACTAGGATTTGAACTTAAATCTGTCTGACTCGATGGCCTATGGTTTTCCCATTCTGCTGGAAGCTTTAAGGAACTTTGGATATTGTCTCATATGCTGGTTTTCAATCTGGGTTCCTAGGGGCTCTAGGTGTTTAAGGAGGTACTTCAGGAACGTTGGCAGTGTGTAGAAATGGGCCAGGTCAGTTGGGTTTGGGCTCCACTCATTGGATTCAAGCAAAGAAACATCATTTTCGTCTGTTCTATAGAGTGACTTAAGATTTTGTTTGAGACGAGGGTTTTTCTACTAAAAAATATTTTAAAGCTCTTGATCTCATTTAACCTCCTCATTAAAAAGGTATAGAACTTGGGGTCTAGAGAGATTATAATGTCTTGCCCAAGATGTTATAACTAAGAGTGACAGGCCCAGCACAAACTTCAGATATACAGGCTCTGCCTAAAACTCCTGGCTTCCCCTACCCTTTGTCTCCTCACTTGTTAAATTACAGTGAAAGTATATGTGTATGTGGGAGAGAGAGAGACAGAGAAAGAGAGAGAGAGAGAGAGAGAGAGAGAGAGAGAGAGAGAGACTGTGTAAGGCTGAACTCTGTGTCCTGATTGTGTGTCCCGACAGTATTCTGGAAAAATGGAAAGATGGGAATACTGTCACGTTGGCAAGCTAGACTGTTTTTCAGCCCTTTGGCTAGAAGACTAAAGTTTGTCAACATTTACCTTGTGACAAATTAAAATTAAATAAAGGGTTAAATATGTAATTTGTCTGGATGATTTAGGGCTCTCCTTTTTTCATTCAAATCAAAGCAGTAGTGAAGGATACTTCTGCATGAGTCATTTGGCTAATTATAGAGTCTTGGCTTGAGAGTACTCTTGCTAGAAAAACTGCTAAAACTGCCCTGTTTACAAATTTAGTCAATCTAGCTAAAAGTGGCTCTTTTCACATGATACAAAATAGGTGTGGGAAAGACATTATAGAGATGGGGTATGGCCAAGTGAACATGTGTCTCTGAAGTCCGCATAGTTTGTATGGACTGGCTTATAAGGCCTAAAATGTCATGTGGTACCTTGGTATCTTTGCAGGGGCCTGTGGGTTCCCCTGCTTTCACTTGGTCTGTCCCCCACCTGGCTCCATCCTCCATCAGCCTCCACACTTCTCCAGGTTCTCAACCCCACAGGTTTCACTTCCTTGTCAGCCCGTGCAATGACTCCAACAAGCCAATTCCATCCTCCCCTTGGGAGCCTGAGGGCCCCTCATCCTCTTGTTACTACTATCTCTCACTGCCCCTGCTGGTTCGCTCTGTTCCCGAGGGCTTCCCTGTGTGGCCCTGCATGGCGTGTTGGCGTCACCCTTCCCTGGCCCGTAGGTGTTTGTGACTCATAAACTGCTGTGGATCTCGTGTGTCCAGTGTCGGGGGCCATATGTATGGCCATCCCCAGGACCCTAGGATGGAAGTCTCCCCTTTGCCAACCGGGTGAAGAGAAGGCAAACAAAACGATGACCAGACATTACTACTAATACAGAATGGAATTTTCACGGAGAACTAGTGGCAAATATCCTATCCTTTGGAGTTTTTGCTGTCAGGCTATTTGCAAATAGGAATGAATTTTTAAGTGAAATTATGACAGCTGGAACTGAACTGTATGAATTTCAGGGCCCCCTTAGCTTTTCCATCTGCTCTTTTTAATTTTTTTCATTCTCACCTGGAGATTTTTGGGAGCACTGTTCTTTTTCCTGAGATGGCTTAACTACAGCCCTGCCTAAAGGCAAAGGGATATTCCTGTCATTTAAATCTTTACTGACTGCATTCTTTTGGTAAAATGTAGCAGAAAGAAATTTTTTCTCATCTCCACAGGCAAGAGATTATAATAAACAGATCTTTTTTTCCCCCATCTGAAACATTCTAAAATTAATATATTTCCAGAGTCTCAGCCTTAGAAACAAAGCTTTAGATGTAATTTCTTTTCCTATTCATGAGATTTACAATAGGAAGGTCATGTTTGTACTAGACTCTGGTTTGAAATTAATCTTCTTTTCTCCTCGGCATTTCTATAGAATCCAGGCACTTCATTATGTAGTCATTTCCAAATATTAAATAGTTGTCATTCTTGAACAACGATCTAATCTTCCCTTTCTGGGTGGAGAAACTGACTTGTGGAACTTGCAAATCATTGCCAGGACATAGATCACTCTAAAGCTTATGGCTATTCATTGAAATGCTTTTCTGCACACGTTCTTAGACTACAAAGTAAAAATGTAAATTGTTTTATAATCAGGGTGTATAGCATCCTCTAACCATTAGAAAGTATTAATTAAAAGCTCATTTGCATTCTGCTTCATGAGAGAAACTTTATGAAGTAAATAAATATATTCAAACCCTCCAACCAACCTCAACACCGAAGTTGTGCTGTAGTCACTTCCCCTCTCTTCTGGTTGTGCCTCATGCAGATCAAAATATATTCTTGGTTCATTCGAACAAGGGTTCGTTTAAACCACATCTGTTGCTCATCAAACCCCATTTTAGGAGTAGAGAATTGTTTTTCAGAGATAGATTCTGTCTGGAAGGTCTCATGGCAACAAATAGTCCTCATTAAATTTCACAACATTTTACCAACATACATACAGTACTCACTTTTACGTGATTATAGAATCCAGGCAAAACTCTGCACCCCCACTTCAAAGGATTCCTCACTTGAGTAATTCTAAAGAGTAAATTGATTTTCTCATCATTTGTTGTGTTTGACAATAGAAAGGCTGACGCAGCAACATTGCTAAAATGACAGCTCTTTTCTATTCAAGGGGAAGGAATTTGTGTTAATATTCTTAATGACAGGCATCTTTATGAGAAATGTGAAATCATTTATCCTGAGCAATAACCTGGCTAGGATTAAAAAGTACTTGGTACTTAGAACGGAAGTAATCTGTCAGGAAAAATTATTTCGACTGATGCAAATTAACTGAATAAATTGGCCTCTGTCGCTTCCTAATTATGGCATGTAGATTCAAGTTTGTTAAAATCAGTCTGAACTGAAGAAGGATCTGGAAAGGCTCATTCAAGAAGTGCTCTGACATTCTGTTGGAGGAAAAGATAACACATTTATTTGATAAATTCCTTTCACATTTCCTAAGAATTTCTGGGAATGATTTAAGAAGCAAGGATGTGTAAATCACGGGAAGACACGTTAAGAGTGTGCATGTCTTGCTTATTCAGAATAGCTGTAATACCTTAGGAAAATGCTGAGCAGCATGTTCGTAGTGACGCCCTAGATTCTAAATAACCAATAGTGTTTTCCATGGGGGGTTGTTCCAACCTTTTCAGGGCTGGTTTGGGCTTGAGCCCGGGTGACAAGTGTGAGAGATGCGAGCACTTGGGCCAGTACTTAACAAGCAGTGCGTCTGTGTATCCCGTAGGAGAGCTGTTCTACTCTTAATAGGCACGGTGTTGCAGGCCAGTTAACAAGTTTTTATTGGAATCTCAGTCTTCTCTTCCTCACCAGCTTCACAGCAAACCTGCTTTTAGCTCTTCACCAAAAACCCTAGTAAATTGTGGGAAGAAGCACTTTACCGGTGTAGGAAATTTAATTAGTCTGGAAAAAAAAAAGGTGTAAATTGCAGGAAAATGTAAACTGCCTCCATGTAATTAATGACTAGGTTTTACTGTTTAGCATTTATGTAGAACTTTCTTTTGAGAGAATGCATGGATTTTTGGAGACAAACTGACTTGGGTCCAAATCCTAGCTCTACAGGTGTGTCTTTTTATTTATTTTTTTTTCTTTTTAGCCTAATTCCTTTACAATTCTTTTACTTAGAAATAGCATAGGTGTCATAAGGCTTGAAGGTGAATAGCAGTGTCCAGCATGTGTAGGGACTCAGTAATATCAGTTTCTTCCTTCTTTTTTAGAGACAGGGTCTTACTCTGTCACCCAGTGGAGTGCAGTGGCCTGAGCATAGCTCACTGTAACCTTGAGTTCTTGGGCTCAAGCAATCCTCCTGCCTCAGCCCACGCCCAGCTAATTTTCCTTCCTTTTCTGAGAGTCTCTTTCGGGCATGAATGTCCTTAAGAAATAGCTCAGTATTATTTGCCTTGAGTGAGCAAAAAACACATTCTTTTTTCAGAGAGCATTAGCTGAGGGATGACTCTGACAGTTGCCTCGGTTTCTGTGCTTAAACACAAATATTAAAGGCACATAAAGGCAAAACAGTAGGGATTTCTTAAAAAATATGATGATTGGTGATCATTAATCATAACCTGAAAATTGTTGTGATTTCAGTCCAGGGGACCGAAAGTCTTTTAGGAGATTGGGTAAACTCAAAGTGTTGGGGTTGGTGTTAGAAATCTTTAGAAAGTTTTTGCTAGAAAACAGTGAATTAGAGAAACACAGAAAAAAATTCTTGTTTAAGAAATTCCGTATGTGCCAAATCCAGTTTGTCACCAGGTCTTTGTGTAAGCAGACAGAGGCATAACTTGCAAATGCAAAACCATACACGCCAGAGAGCAGGAGAGGGGAAAGTGCAGGAGCAGGGACTGGGCAGAGAGGATGAAGAGGGCAGGTGCTGGGGACAGGAAAGGACCTTGGATGCATGCCTGCTGCAGAGGCTGCAGTCTCTGAGAGATGCTGATAAGGAAGTGCTGAGACCTGGATGGAAAAAAGCCTGAATCTGCAAGGGACCCATGTCTGGGGCTGACAGGTGCATTAGTAAGAAGAAGCTGAGGCTAGGGCTAGGCTAGAGCCTGAGGCCAGGGTGATGGACAATCAAGGGAGTGATAACGGGGAGCACTTGCAAGGTATTGCTTTAAGGCTTTAAAACCATGCCAGGCTGAGTAACCTGAGCCCCATGTGTGATTGACTTCCGTGAAGGCAGTTTTTACCCTGAAATTCCCTGACATTGCAGTAAAGTTAAGCTGTGCACTCACGGTGTCTGTGTGCTGTGCTGGAATGCACACAGTAGAACAAAGGTGGTATTAATAAAGAAGGAAGGGAGGCAGGTGAAGGTGGTTCTCTTAGCTTGCCTAATCATTCTTATTTGGGGGGAAATGTATACAAATAAATATAATAGCATACTTTGGAGTGGGAAGGAACCACAAAATGGAGGATTGGAAGCATGCATAGGGGAAGCAGGGGGTGGAAAGGTATATCCCACCACTTCTCTTGTGATCCCATCTTCCCTCTAACCGGTCCCTTCCTGGATCATTGCTGAGTGAGCAACTGTGAGGGATGCGGCTTGCGCGTGTAGTCCCAGCTACTTCAGAGGCTGAGGAAGGAGGATCACTTGACTCTAGAAGTTCAAGACCAGCCCGTGCAACATAA